AGGGCAAATTCTTTTTATTACAATATTTATATACATACTGTTGGGTGGTTTAATATTGAGAAAAAAGAAAACAAGAATGAGCCTTATTTGTTTTAGAAAGGTACCAGGACACCAGCATATGTTATTGCATACATTGGCAAGAGTTTCTATCATGTCACAGTAGACATTTGATGAGATATTTTACCTGTCTGCAGTGCTAGTACGAGATAATTCAGCTCGAATTACGCTATTTGTTAATAGTTATGTTGAATGTCCGTCATGTTACGTTATATGTCCGTCATGTTACATTATATGTCCGTCAATGTTACGTTATATGTCTGTCATGTTACGTTATATGTCCGTCATGTTACGTTATATGTCTGTCATGTTATATTACATGTCCGTCATGTTACGTTATATGTCTGTCATGTTACGTTATATGTCCGTCATGTTACGTTATATGTCTGTCATGTTACGTTATATGTCCGTCGGGCATACATTATTTGTCTGTCATGTTACGTTATCTGTCTGTCAGTGTTACGTTTCATAAATTTTAATCTTAAATAGAATCTTTATTTTATAATTGACTATCTTCTAATGCCATTTTATATCCTTTTTAGAACCTAAAAATGATATACAAACGAAGAAAATATTCAAAAAATCACATCTAAATATTTTCCAATTTGTCCCCGAATATGTTCACAAGAGCGAATTTTGAGCCTATAATGAAAAAGGCAATTTTTTTTCTCACTGGAGAAACTTAAACACGGTCAGTGTGCCCTGTAGTTGTCCAACATAAAGATTTTTCTCTTCATCTGCACAAACACTATAGGGACCGTATATCCCTTGTTCGTGTGTGAGTAATAGAGACAAGAACTGACCGTCCTGATCAAGGAGGTGAACAGAGTTAGTGTGATAATCACACACCAGGATGTGACCGAAGACATCAATACAGATTCCATAGGAACGGAACTTTGATTTCTGACCAGGAGAACCTGTGTTGTCCTGATTTATTCACCACCACTACTCCCTTAGTATAGTCTGATGTACAGATATCTCCATTGATGTTTTCTGTGATGTAGTGTGGTTTAGTATATAGTTTTCGCCCCCTGTTATCTCTTTGTATGTTCTCTATTTCTTTTCCTGTCTTGTTGTACCTGGTGACTCTAGCCTCTCTATAACCAGTCATCCCCACCAGTAAGTCCCCGTTGATGTGGGAGGAGTGTATGCTGAGTGGGACCCATACTCTTGGTTTTATGAATTCAGTTATATTATTATCCTGTGTTATCCTATTGATAACTTTATTGACTATGTCTGTAAAGATAAGATCCCCATTCTGTGTCACTGTGTGGTGACCATGAGATCCACCGCTGGTTTTTATCTTCTGTATCACATTTCCCATTAGATCTGTTTGGACAAGATTGCCATATTTGTCACTGATCCAGAGTCTGTCTGATTGATATGATGTTATATGTATTATGCCAAGGAGATCTGGTACATTGAAGTCCCTCACCTTGATGACTGATAGAGGCTGTGTTTGTTTCTCTCTGTCTTCTGTCATCTGTTGCTGGTAGAGGACCACCTCATGGTTATTGTTTTCTGGACTTTTCATATGTTCATCTCTGCATTGTGTGCACAATTTTTGATGACAAGGGTTGCAATAAAACTCACATTTTCTATCACATTCTTCAATGCCACACTCTAAAAAGAGCTGGACAGTGCAAGCTGCTTTACATGATGACATCTGAAAATCATGATGTTTCTATATAGTAATATGGATTTCTCATCTTCGCAGTGAATAACTTTATTAAAATAATACCAAAAGCTTTTTTTTTTATTTTTAAGAAGACTATTGATTAATAGTCAAACATCAAATAGTTTACTAGTAAATCTTTGACATCGGTTTAAGTAAGTACTGGAAATATAAAATTTTGTATCATTTGATTTAATAAATTTTTATTCCATAAAGAAAAAAAAATATACAATTGGATCTTAAAATCCCACAAATGATCTCTCACAGTACGTAAAAAGTTTCCATAAATACCGGTATAAAGATTTTTACGAAAGAGATACATAATATAGCATAATTTCATTGTTATATAATGTTATATATTATATAAAGTGATAAGCTTTAGATAAATAATGGACATGGTATTCTTTAATACTTACAATATATGTTCATGGCCTACAGAAACTTTTATCCAAATATTTCTGGATGTAGTAGTTTGACTAAGTCGAGCACGTAAAAGTTATCTGTACTTTGTTTACTAGCTAGATGGAGATAAATGCAATCACATGGGCTAATGTTAATAAACAAACTGTTGAGAAACAGAATACCACACTTATTAGTCCTTGTCCTGGTGCAACGCCGGCAGATATGACAGTCATATGATTTCTCATTGAACGTTGAATTTTGTTAAATATTTGATTTTGTTGATATCATTCCATAATGGCGTGACCTGCATATTTAGAATTATCAAAACTACTTAAAACTTATTGTGGAAGTCAAACCCCCTAGGAAAAATACTCAGTACAATTGTTACATTTAAAACTTTAATGTATCACAGATGTCAGTAATGTGAAATTCAGTTGTATTGTCAATACAATGTCAGAGTCAATGGCATGGATAAACTGAAAGTTGTTTGTCAGAATTATCAGATTAATAACTTGAGTTCTAAAGTAGAACAAAATTATTTTGTAATTAAATCCCAACTTTGATGATTTTAGTCATTCCATGAAGTTGTTGTGGAGAAAATCCGTAAACTATCTGGAGACTACTCTTTAATGGCTTCATCTTGAAAGAGTATGAGATTCTTCACCAACTAGTACTGTTAACAGAAGTCCGAAATACACTCACTGTAAGTTTTCACTTATTTTGTATTTACCAAATAAATTTCCTGTCCGAATAATCTGAGAAATTTACACATGTATAAATTGTTGAAGCGTATATTTGATTAAGATTTCAATAGGTTATTTTCTTAACTTTACTAAAACTCTGTCCTAGGTATTGTATTCTGACATCAACTTCTTTTTGCTGATCTTGGTACAAATATCTTTTCTTTATTACAGTTGATAAGGAACGCCTGTGAGAACAATGTGATGGGTGACCAGCTGAGTGACCACTACCTGTCTGCGGCCGATGACCTCTACCACTTAAGGATCCCCAGGATCTGGTGTAAGATGACCGGCACCACCGCCCCACCCTACACCTACAACGCCGCTCAGTGGCTCCGGGATCTGGAGGACCGCTAGAAACACTTTGAGAAGATCCTCAGCATGGTGTGCATTGTATAAATGAAAATGGGGGAGGATCCATAGGGAGTGGAATCCTTTTATGCAGATTTATTTTTTCATATTAGTTAGTTAGAAACAAATAACACTTTATCCTACTAAGCTTTCATCTTTAGTAAAAGAACTTAATGTTTTATATGGGGATTATTTTTTGCGAGTTACAGGGAAGGAAGGCCATGCCAGCCTATTGGTTAGGAGCATTCTTCAATCCTAGAGGACTTTTTCCTTGCTGAAACAGGAAGCCATCAAGAGGTACTGTGGAGATAGGTATGGCAATTTCGAACAGTTCACCTTCCAGACCGATACAACATTCAGAGATTTTGGACATCTAATCTTTTTAATGTTCTAATCTTGCTTTTTAATTGCTACCAAAGCTTACAATAGACTGAAACAGAATTCATGAATAAAATTGATTTTGGTATTTTTGTTTCCTTCTTTAGTTACTTCAGCCTCCACCAGAGGGCGTGTACGTCCACGGAATCGACCTCTGTGGATGTTCCATTGAGAAGACGACCAATGAATTCCAGGACCAGGCCTCCAGACAGGGTTACGCCTCCCTTCGTAACCTCTGTCGACAGTGCTACCCGATTACAACTGTAATGAGAAACCCGCCATACATGTAAAGGAACCTTCCTTCAAGTGCCCATTCTATCCCTCCAGAATAGCCCTACGGGACCCCATTATGGAAAATTGACATCAAGAAGAAGGGAATCCCGCCCACGGAATGGGCACTACGTGGGCTCACAGCTACCATCTGGCCTTATTAATTATAAAAACTGCCAAAGACGTTGTCTTGTGTTGTATTAAAAAAATCCAAAATAATAACTTTTAGGAGTGATTTATTGAATAAGATCTGACTTTTTTTCTGACTTTGTGATTTATTGAAAGTTTTACTGTAAGACATAATGCATTACATAGATAAATAGGTGTTTTTTGCTGAATGCAAACCTTATTCCGTCCTCATCACGTTCAATCTGTGATTACAATGGTTGTGTACAGAGTAGATTTGTATCTTTATGGTTGTGTTTCTCTGTGACAGTGATGCATTAAGTATTTGTTTATACTCTTGTTGATATTGTGTTTATTTTGAAATATATACTGTATATTTATTTCTATTTTAAAGACTTTTCATGCATATGTGTCAAAATATTGTATTTTGCTGAGTTTGATTAAAACTTGAATGGCGTTGTAATATTGTTGTTTTGTTAAAAGTGAAATATTTACGAAAAGTGATTCTTTAACATTTTGTTTGAAATTCATGGATTACAAAGAAATAACATACATGTGTTTTTGACCTTCTGACCCTGGAATCATATTACATTCGAAATTCAGTGATATTATTCACCCTTGACCATTAACATACCTTTCGTTTTGACCTGATGATGCTGGAATCATTCTTACATTGACCACCTTGTAACTCTTAGCCAGTATGAATTGAAACTGTAAACCATAGACATATTTAAACATTCAAATGAATAGACATTTTTTTCCTCTATATGCAACATCTAAAGAATTATTGTGACTGTAGATGAGTAAGTTTTACAGTGTTCTACATTTATTTTCAAGATCATTGGTACGACCATACCCTAACTAACAATAACCTTGATCTTTTTATCCTAAAATGAGTACTATGTCGTCTATCTTCTGGTTATCCACAACATCTTTAGCAAAACTTGATTAATTTTGTTGTTTTAAAAGTTATCGTATACAGTATATTTTGGTTTGGATTTAATTATGTTGATAATTATTAACAATGATATAGAGGAAATCTGATCCCTCGCAAATACTCGTGATTTTGCAATATATATGATTCAGATTTAAATATGCAATTTAAAACTTTATGTAGATCTAATATTAAGAATAGCTGCAATATTGTTTTCACTGTAGATACTTGTACACTGTCAGTGTGTTGGAGTATTGTCCCACATAGAGATTGTTTTCATCATCCACACACACACTACGGGGACAGTATATCGCTTGCTCTTGTGTGAGTAATAGACACAAGAACTGACCGTCCTGGTCAAGGAGGTGAACAGTGTTACTAACACCATCACACACCAGGATGTGACCGAGGACATCAGTACAGATTCCATAGGGACGAAACTTTGACTCCTGGCCTGTGTAGGAGAATTTGTGTTGTCCTGATTTATTCACCACCACTACTGCCCATTTATTAAAGTCTGATGTACAGATATCTCCATTGATGTTTTCTGTGATGTAGTGTGGATTACTACACAGTCCCTGTCCTTTGTTATCTCTCTGTATGTTCTGTAGTTCTTTTCCTGTCTTGTTGTACCTGGTGACTTTACCCTCTCTTTCATTCATTAGTCCCATAAAACTTAAAGTCTCTTTAAACATCCCCACCAGTAAGTCCCCATTGATGTGGGAGGAGTGTATGCTGAGTGGTGTCCAGTCTCCAGTTTTAATGAATTCAGTGATATTATTATCCTGTGTTATCCTATTAATGACTTTCTTGTTTCTGTCTGTAAAGATCAGATCCCTGTCCTGTGTGACTGTGTGGTAACCCTGAGATCCACCACTGGTTTTTATCTTTTGTATGACATTCCTTTGTAAATCTGTTTGGACAAGATTACCATCACCATCACTGATCCAGAGTTTGTCTGATTGATCTAGTGATACATGACGTACATTATCAACACCTGGTACATTGAACTCCCTGACCTTTGTGACAGAGGCAGATAGAGACATTGTTTGTTTCTTGTCGGATTTCATTCTGTCTTCTTTCATCTGTTTATGTGTATGTTTCATTGCTGTATTGTAGACACTTTCAATGGACTTTATTTCTCTCCTCTCTGCCATAGTTTTGGGGACATGTATTTTACCTAGCAATTTGATGACATCTTGTTTGCTGTATGGACCAGCTGTAAATTCTGGTGTGACTGGTTTTGTTGTTTCTGGTATGGATCGGATCTTTGGTTTCTTCTCACACAATAATTTCTGGGTTTCTTTAGAGAACAGGCATCTGTGGAGCTCTTTGACAAGGTTATTAAGATAATTGATGTATTCATCCATGGTCTTGTCTTGGGTGTTTATATCTTCTAACAGTGAATGCTCTATCTGGTCTAACTGCTTCATGTTCTCAGATACGACTGTGTCCACAAGATTTTTTAAGGTTTCACCTTCAGTCTTCATAGATGTTCTAATGTTGTCTATAATGTGTTTAATTTCCCAGGAATTTTTTTTAATATCTTTCTGTAAATCTTGTGATGTAGGGAGAAAATATTCATGAATTTTGGAGATTTCCGTTTGGCAGACTGCAAATTTTTCAGCGTAGACTGCTTCAAGATCAACAAATTTATGTCTTTCGTGGTCTCCCATTGTAGCACATTTGGAACATAACGGAACCTGGCATTCTTCACAGAACATGTCCACATCTTTAGTAGGGTGGATCTTGCATTTATCTACAGGAAGTTGTCGTTTGCGTTGCTGGTAAAGAACCACCTCATGGTTCTTGTTTTCTGGACTTTTCAGATGTTCCTCGCTGCATTGTTCACATAATCTTTGATGACAAGGGTTGCAGTAGAACTCGCAGTTTCTTTCACATTCTTCAATACCACATTCTAAAAAGTGCTGGGCTCGCTGGGGAATATTTTGTTTAGATAATGCCATCTGAAAAGTACGAAAATAGAAATGTATGTTTTATACATGTACGTATGTGTACATCAAAGATTTCTCTCGAACTATGACATCTGACTGAGATTAATATCATATGCATTCAATTTGCTTTTCTTGTACATCAATTTTTTTATACTTCTTCTCCATAATTCATTCAACAGTTTTCATAAAATTAAATTTATTTAATTAATGTTCTGCTAGTACTTACAGCTTTTATGAATGGCTGACAAACGACATTGTTGACAGCTAGGTTTTGGAATGTCAAAATGAGATTTCAGTCGAGACCTGAACGAGCTCTATAATTCACCTCCGGGATAGATTAAAGATAAATATAGATTTAAATACCCATAACTGGTAAATACCAGCGTATATCATTCGTTTTCTTCCAAACATAATGCAAAATACCATAAAACCTTTAAAGGTCTGCACTTTAGTATGAGTCATTCATTTAACAATACTTTGAATCAACATTTAATTTACGTTGTATGCGACTCTCTCTCTCTCTTCTCTCTCTCTCTCTCTCTCTCTCTCTCTCTCTCTCTCTCTCTCTCTCTCTCTCTACTAATACGTATTGAAATATTATTTGGAAAATAAAATATGCACTGCATATCCTGTTGTAAAAATATAAAAGTGTTATGTGTCATGTGAAATAATACAAAGCAAAAAATAAAAAAAAAAGGAAAAAAAAAAAACCAGTGAACTATTTTTGACTTAATACATGTAGGCCTTTGTGTTCCGAAAGATTTTTCACTCTGAAAATAATGACAGTCAGACAGTTTAAAAAAAAAAAAAAAAAAAAACCTAATTTTTTCCTTGTCATTAAAATTAATTCACAAATATTTTGAATTAAAGATATCGTAATTTCGTTTTAATTTTAACTGTTTTCTCCTTATGCATTGCCTTCTGTTTTCATTTAATGATTTAGCTGTGCACGTGCACGGTGATTCAGGGTGAATCATAAAACTCCCCTAAAATTTTCTTATATGCACTGTATTGTATTGAACTGTAAAGAAAACAAAACTACATGATCATCATAGGCGTCGGAACCGGGGTTGGGGGACTAGGAGCCTGGGCAATTTGCAAAAATTGACATAATATAGATATTGAACAATGGGACGTAAGTTGAGCCCCCCCCCCAACTTTCAGCATGCATATTCTACTTGAGTCAAAAAAGGGTAAATGGTAGTGTTTATTTAAAAATGGCACTGGAAATAGTTTGAGGATTCTACAGCCCACTACAAAAGGATTTTCGTGTTTGGGCAATGGAGACATCTTAATTTTCTTTTGTATTTGCTTGTCAGGTTTTTAAGAAATTTTGAATTTTTTTTCTCCTTTACTTAGACCCCCCCCCAATTAAATTTGCTCCCGACGCCAATATATCATATGCGCGGAAGGAAGTGTTTGCTCAATAGCACCCTCTGAAAACTGAAAATAATTGCCCCCCCCCCCCGGTTGTAATTGCTTTCCTCGGGCCTCTAGAGGACTAGCATTAGTTTTCAGTATTTGTACATATAATTCTCCATACAAGTATTTTGTTTTGGTTGTATTGATTATCGCAGTTGCCTACACCCTTTTTCGAAGATACATTGATCTTTAATTTACCCTTGAACTTTATTTTCGCTTTCAACAAAAACATGCATATCTGTCCAATTCAACCATAAGAAGAAAAAAAAACATGTATTTTAAAATAATTTATTTTCAAATTCTAGTTTACACAAATTGATAAGATTTCGTGTCTATTGATATCAATATCATTTTTGAATGCATACTAGTATTCTCCAAAAAGTAAACAAATATTTTTACTGAAAACATTACAGCATGATATTAAAAAAATAATTTCTGAATAAATGGAGGAAAAGAAAGGTAAAACATATTGTGTAAACATGAAATAAACAAAGCCCATGATCCACATCGCTCACCTGAACACTGGCTAAGCAAGAAACAAAAAAACTTTCAAATCATGACCCCCAGGGATAGAATTGAGCCACCATCGGGGATACAAGTTTTACATTAAATTTTTTTTTAAAAACTTCTCATGAACAGCAAAGCCATGATAGATGACATTTATATGAAAGCATACTCAAATGATGTAGAATAATTTTTTCACATCATAACCCTCAAGGGTAGGGTGGGGCCTCAATGGTGGATCCAATTTTTACGTAGGAAAATAAAGGGTGAAACCCAAGAGCAGGAAAGCTATGTTTAGTCACATTGACATGTAAGCATCCTCAAGTATTGAAGATTTAAATTTGTTCAAATCATGACCCTTTTGGGTAAGGAGGGAAACAATGGGTTAATCGCGTGAGCATCCCCTATTAAACGGTCACATCCACCTATGAATTGCTCAAAAGAAAAGTACCTAAGGTATGAAGCAAATTCGACACAATACGTACTATTTATTGATAGTTTATTTTTGTTGCAAGGCCATTATAACGTCCAAAGAACAGGCATAATGCTAAATTTAAACAAGATTGTTGAAATCCCTGCAACGTCAACTTATGTGTGAGTAGCCTGTCTCGGTTTAAAAATTGATTTTCCTCAGTGTATGCTCTATGGTATGAATAAGTTGGAATATAAAAGCCATATGCAGGTGATAACAGAATATGACTAGATAATTTGAGAAGTTTGACAATTAAAAACCTGAAGTCTTAATTCCAGTTTCTCGTATAATTTAGTTGTTTGTTCGACTTTGTTGTCCAAGTCAGTGAATTATGCAGTTATGAAATAAATGCAAGACTCGATCTCAGCCTTATCTTTTTTTTCAAATTCACTAAGATATATAAAGTCGACATACATACTTACATGAATTTAACAATAGTAAAATGTTCAAAGGCATCGATATGTCTTTATGTGGAGTTTTCTTCTTATCAATTGCAAATAGACGTCTAAAAATAATTTTAGCATCAAAAGACTCTGTCTCTAAAGACTACATAAAAGATGTCAATGAGGAACTTCAGCATCCCTTTAACACCAACTTCGATTGTAACGTCAACATTTGACTGAATACATAGGGTTTCATGTGGGTACGTCCAGTCAACATAAGATGTTTTCTCCTGTTTGGCACGTTGCACCTATTCACACCTCTGGAATTTCTAAGGTTCCGAGTCTTTTGCACTATTCACATATTTATTGTTTGTCAATATATTATAAAACTCTATTTGCTGTCTTCACCATGTCACGTACAAGTACGTATTTAGTATGTTAAAGAATTCACATTTGATAAATAGATAAATTTCAAACTTTATACATTGTGTAATATGTGTAACTCAGAAAGAATTATATCTCTAAAGTGTGTTCATCTTTTAAAATTAAAATACTAGCATTTAAAATATTCACATGACGTTAACTTTAAGATTGCATAATATAAAAAAATGGTACGTTTTTTTCTCACTGGAGAAACTTAGACACTGTAAGTGTGCCCTGTAGTTGTCCCACAAAAAGATTTTTCTCTTCATCTGCACAAACGCTATAGGGGCCGTATATCCTTTGTTCGTGTGTGAGTCATAGAGACAGAACTGACCGTCCTGATCAAGGAGGTGAACAGAGTTAGTGTGATAATCACACACCAGGATGTGACCGAGGACATCAGTACAGATTCCATAGGGGCGGAACCCTGACTTCTGACCTGTGTAGGAGAACCTGTGTTGTCCTGATTTATTCAGCACCACTACTCCTTTATTCCAGTCTGATGTACAGATATCTCCATTGATGTTTTCTGTGATATAGTGTGGTTCAGTATATAGTTTTCGCCCCCTCTTATCTCTTTGTACATGTATGTTCTCTACTTCTTTTCCTGTCTTGTTGTACCTGGTGACTTTACCCTCTGTATATGTCAACTTCCCCACCAGCAAGTTCCCGGTTAATGTGGGAGGAGTTTATGCTGAGTGGGACCCAGACTCCAGTTTTAATGAATTCGGTGATATTGTTATCCTGTGTTATCCTATTGATGACTTTATTGACTATGTCTGTAAATATCAGATCCCCGTCTTGTGTCGCGGAGTGATGACCATCAGATCCACCGCTGATTTTTATCTTCTGTATCATATTCCCCTGTAGATCTGTTTGGACAAGATTACCATTTTTGTCACTGATCCAGAGTCTGTCTGATTGATGGGATGTTATATGTAATAAACCAATGACATCTGGTACATTGATTTAGAGATTTTGGACATGTGAAAACAATACCTTCTCTCTAATCTTTATAATGTAAAAATCTTGTTTTTTGCTACCAGATCTAACAAAAGACTGAAACAGAATCTGATACCGGTATAACAATGTAATTGTATCATTAATGAATAAAATTGATTTTTGGTATTTTTGTTCCCTTCTTTAGTTGTGTCTTTTATTAATTAATATCAAACTGAAGTAATGTTATCATTTTCAACTTCAGATTGAAAATTAATAAAGACAGTTACTTCAACATCCACCAGAGGGCGTGTACATCCGTGGAATCCACCTCTGGGGATGTTCCATTGAGAAGACGACCAATGAATTCCAGGACCAGGCCTCCAGACAGGGTTATGCCCCCTCCTGTCCTCCATCTACAGTGCTACTCGATTGATGAGAAACCCGCCCTACAGGAACCCTCCTTCCAGTGCCCACTCTATCCCTCAAGAATAGCCCCACGGGACCCCATCATGGAAATTGACATCTAGAAGGAAGGGAATCCCGCCCATGAGATGGGCACTACGTGGGCTCACGGCTACTGTCTGGCCTTATTAATTTAAGAAACTGCCAAAGACGTTTTGTGTTGTATTAAAAAAATCCAAAATGATGACTTTTAAGAGTGATTAATTGATAAGAACTGACATTTTTTGCTGAAAAATTTATTTATTAGAAGTTTCATTGTATGACATAATGCATTACATAGACAAATATTAGGTATTATGTTTTGCTGAATGCCAATCTTATTCCGTCCTTTTCACATTTAATATGTGATTACAATGGTTGTGTACAGAGTAGATTTAAATTATTATGGTTGTGTTTCTATGAGACAGTGATGCATTAAGTATTTGTTTATACTCTTGTTGATATTGATTTTATTTTGAAATATATATATATTTATTTCTATTTTAAAGACTTTTCATGCATATGTGTCAAAAATTGTATACTGCTGAGTTTGATTAAAACTTGAATGTTGTAATTTTTTTTTAATGTTTTTGTCATTGTCTTAAAACTTGACTCAAAAAAAGTGAAATATTCGACAGAAACAGTGTTTGTTGAATCATTTTTCAGTTCATTTTGTAATTCATACTTTAGGTTATATGGTGAG